TCTCTTTTAAAGCTAAATAATACTCCATTTGTGTATGTATGCTACTTTTTGTGTTTAATCCACTTATCTATTAACGGGCACTTAGGTGGTTTCCTAAGTCATGGCTATTGTGACTAATGCCTTAATGAATGTGGCGGTACAAATATCTCCTTGACATACTGATTTCAGTTCCTTTGGATATACATCCAGAAGTGGGATTGCGGGATCGTATACTAGCTCCATTTTTAGTTTTTGAGGAACTTCGCTGTTGTTTTCCATAATGCAATAGCTTTATTTTCTTAAAACAACAAAAAAATCACTTTGTAATTAGTTGATTGGCATGCTTATATAATTTGTGAGACTACAGACCATAGCCCTTGAAAAAAGATTAATTGAAAAATACAGAAACATTTTTTTTTTATCCTGGAAAATGATCCATATGTTTCTATAAAAATATAACTTCACTGGCCCTTACAAGTTTTTCTTTGTCTTATATCTCTTCCATTTGCTTTTTTTTTTTTTTTAAAGGAATTGGTCTTCAAATAATTCCGTGCTTCAAAATTTCTGCTTGATTCTCTTTTGATCTGCTTTATGCTTATTTAAAGCAAATTTAAAAGCTTTTACTTCCTCCATTTTCTGGAACTAAGTTACATTCTGAAGTGGGAGTTTTTTGGAAATGAGTTGAAGTTTAAGGGCATAAATATCATTGACATTTTAGTTGGATGGGATTATAGGACTGACTTTTAAAATGGTTATATCTGTATTTATCACAAGGTGGTACCAGATATCCACTTGTTATCGGGAACTGAAGCACTCCTATAGGAATGTTTCATTATCTTATTATTATTATTATTATTATTATTATTAAGGCGGAGTCTTGCTCTGTCCCCGCAAGCTGGAGTGCATTGGTGCAATATCAGCTCACTGCAACTTCTGCCTTCTGGGTTCTAGCGATTTCCCTGCCTCAACATCCCAAGTAGCTGGGATCACAGGCACCCGCCACCATGACTGGCTAATTTTTGTATTTTTAGTAGAGATGGGGTTTCACCATGTCGGCCAAGATGGTCCTGAACTCCTGACCTCAGGTGATCCACCCGCCTTGGCCTCCCAAAGTGCTGGCTAGGATTATAAGTGTGAGCCATCATGCCTGGCCTCATTAGCTCCTTAAAATAGACCAAATTTAAAGCCCCTTGAAGAAAGGTATGCTAATACATTCATAGCACTCTTTGTGCATATGAAAGCTCGTGTAAAATGCTTAAAAGATAATTACAAGTGCCCAACTTAAAGGTTCTCTTTTATTTTTTAGTTTGTTTTTGTGTGTTTTTTTAAATTTCTGTTTTTGTCACAGTCATTAAAGGTTCTTTATATATCACTTCACTTGTGTTTTCATATATATTTTCAAAATTCCTCTTTGTTGATGAACCTACAGAACTGAGATCAGTGTTCCTTTGTATGTAGTTATTTGTTGTACTTCAGTGCATTTTCGGTTGCACTGTTTCTGGTACTGCTGAGACACAGTATTATTGGTATGAAAGAATTGCCTTAAACTTTGATGATGTTACTGCTACTTAGAGGCTTGAATCTAGATACTCAGATTTTCTACTTCTTAAGTCTTATGTAGAGAAATTTCAGGAATATAGCTATTTATCTTGCCAGAGGAGATTCTTGTCCTGACACTGCTCACATGGCTGGAGTACAGTCAGCTAGAAAAGTAGAAAATCGAAGTTTACTAACATATATGTAGGAGGTTACATCATTGGCATTTCTTTAAAAAATTCTAATTATTTTGATCTTGCACATATCTATTTTAGGTTAAATTTAAGATTTCACTCTACAGTTTTAGGTGAATTAACATCTCATTTCATCTTAGAATACTTACTTATTAAGTTGAAAATAATTTACTTTAAAAGTTTAGTCTGTTTTATAGAATATGGTCTGTATGTTAGTAACATAACTTAGTTTTAAATATTTTCAAGAAAGTATAAAATATTAGGTTAGAAAACAACTGATTTGCAGATATGTAGAGTTGTCTACAAGCTCTCACCTGAGTGCCTATGTCAGTCTGTAGTACCATAGGAAGTGTACTTTTTTCTTATAACTTGTACAGTGTATGATTTTAGAAAAATCCTTTTTAGAATTATATATATACATATGTATATATATTTAAATATGTAAATTTATAGGCTGGGCGTGGTGGCTCACGCCTGTAATCCCAGCACTTTGGAAGGCCAAGGTGGGCAGATCACGAGGTCAAGAAATCAAGACCATCCTGGCCAACATGGTGAAACCCTGTCTCTACTAAAACTACAAAAAATTAGCTGGGACTGGTGGCACACACCTGTAGTCCCAGCTGCTTAGGAGACTCAGGCAGGAGAATCGCTTGAACTTTGGAGGCAGAGGTTGCAGTGAGCCGAGATGGCGCCACTGCACTCCAGCCTAGTGACAGAGTGAGACTGTGTCCCAAATAAATAAATAAATAAATATATATATGTGTATATATATTTAAAGCCATTATATTATAGCTTACAGTATTTTACTATGTAATTAAGAATTTGGAGCTAAGTGATTTGAGAGATTATAAAAGGATGCACACAAAAAAGATTTAGATTATTCACTAAATTTCTACTTTTTTTTTTTTTAAAGAGATGGCATCTTGGCATCTTGCCATCTTGCCGAAGCTGGTCTCGAACTCCTGGGCTCAAATGATCCTTCCGCCTCAGCCTCCCAAAGTGTTGGGATTATAGGCGTGAGCTGCCATGCCTGGCTGACAATTTCTACTTTTTTAATCGCATGAGTAATGTGATTTAGAATTCCTAGATCATGTTAAGGACAGTAATCAGTCTTTTCAGTAAGTCAGAGAATAATCAATGAATAGATTTAAAAGTAACTTTTTTCCTTATACATACTATATACACATTCAAATATGCCAGATCAATATATTTAATTTAATATTAATTTTCTTTCACTGCTGTGACAAGCTCAGTGACTTAAACAACACAAATTTATTATCTTAGGGTTCTACAGTTCTGTATCTTACAGTTCAGAAGCCAAAAATGGTTCTGACTGGGTAAAATCAGCATTGGGAGAGCTGCATTCCAGAGACCCTGGGGAATATTCCCGTTCTTTGCTTTTTTCAGCCTCTGTAGGCTTTCTGCATTATTTGGCTGAAGGCGCCTTCCTCCATGTTCAGAACCACCATCAAACCATCATTCTGACCTTGTTTCCATTGACACTCCTTCTCTGACTTTTGCCTTCCTCTTTCACTTTTAAGGACTCCTATTATTATATTGGGCCTACCTGGATAATCCAGGATAGTTTCCTATTTTAAGATTAGCTGATTAGCAACCTTAATTCTATCTACAGTTCACTGTTGCCGTGTAACCAAACATTCAAACAGATTCCAGGGATTAAGATTGGGGCATCTTTGGGGGCCATTATTCTACCTACTGTAAATATCAACTAAAGAATAAAGACTACTACTTATCTTTTGGGTTGTTAAAACACAAACTTTGTGATTCAGCTACTTATTAGATAAAAATATAGAATAGAATGGAAGCAAAATTTTAAAAATTAACCAGCCATATGAATATTATTAAACTTTATAACACCTAATCAGAATGAAGTGGGATTACTGAAAAAAATAATCTTTATTTAATTTTAGGGTTTTTTCCTGCTATTGTCATTTAATTTCTTAACTAGTATAATTATTACATTATGATGTTAAAAAATACATGATTGCATCACAAGTTTCATGGTTTTTTTCTTTTTGCTAATTTTTTAAAAACTTAAGAACTCACCCTCCCACCATTTTTTTTTTTTTTTTTTTTTTTTGAGACAGAGTCTTGCTCTATTGCCCAGGCTGGAGTGCAGTGGCACAATCTTGGCTCACTGCAACCTCTTCTTCCTGAGTTCAAGTGATTCTTCTGCCTCAGCCTCCCAAGTAGCTGGGATTACAGGCGCATGCCATCACGCCCAGCTAATTTTTATATTTTTAGTAGAGACGGAGTGTCACCATGTTGGCCAGGCTGGTCTCAAACTCCTGACCTGGTGATCCTCCCACCTCAGCCTCCCAAAGTGCTAGGATTACAGGTATGAGCCACTGCGCCAGGCCAAGAAACCCTTTTAACCGCAAGTATACCATGATTGATTAAAGTGTACCAAGTGTATACACATTGGAATGTTGGCTTAGGACTAAGTAGTACAGTACCCTTATAGAAGACAAAATTAAATGTACATGTTTCTGAGTAATAATTGGAATTTCCTGAAATTCAGACTGTTTTTTCATTAAGTAGACAGTTTTCTTAGGTCACTACACTGTCAATAATGTTTATGTATTATGTATTTTGTAGTCATATATAAATTAGTTTTAAGAGTCAGTCAGAGCATAGTGTCAATAAGTTCCAGGTTCAGTGTGTAGTTAGCTTCATCTAAATTTCTGATGACAGCTCTGACTCTGAACATCTGTGTATAAAGATAATCTATTAAAACAGTGTAGTTTGGTTCATGCACATTACTAACATTCAGTGCTGCAAGTAGATGACTTTTATTTTCTACAATGGATGGTACTTAACAGAGCAACAACAAAGACTGTGTAGAGCAAGCTTGTCCAACCTGCGGCCCATAGGCCACATGGAGCCCAGGACAGCTTTGAATCTGGCCCAACACAGATAAGTAAACGTTTTTAAAATATTATGAGAGGTTTTGGAATTTTTTTTAGTTCATCAGCTATCATTACTGTTATATTTATTGTTAGTGTTTCATATTTAGTCAGTACCAGAATAAGTTTTCTAATTTTTTATTTCCCATTATTTCAATAAATCATTTTTTATGATAGCGTTATGCTTATTGCTACTTTGTTTCCATCTAGATTCTTCATAATTTCTGCTCTTTCACTATAGGTCATTTCTGTATCTAATTTCATTTGCTTATATATAAAAGTGTTTATGTTTCTTTGAATTATTGTCAGTCTGACTTGGGAAGACATATTTTATTGTGTCTTTTTTCCTTTATAATCTTTGAAGTTGAAGAAATACTTGAACAAGCAGACTACCTGTATGAAAGCGGAGAAACAGAAAAACTTTATCAGTTGCTAACCCAATACAAGGAGAGGTAAGCAATGTAAGATAGGCCTAGGCTTGTGGTTTCCTCACAATTTTTATTTAACAATTAAAATGACCCTTAGTGCTTGAGGTTTTAAAAATTGATTATTGTAGTTTTTACTTCAAAATATTTCTTAGAGTTTAATTTATAATATACTATTTATTTCTTACATTAAATGCTGCATGTATCTCATTGATTTAGAAAAGGTGTTACTACTTACTCTAGTGGAATGTTGATTTTTCCATTTTGCTTTAGATCATACAGCATAGTTACTGAATATATGTTTATCCATTCTAGCCATATTGTATATTTCTCATTCCTTTTAAAGTAATTATTTATTGGTATAGATTAAATGAATTCACTGAGATTTAGGATGTTGTATGCCACCATTGAATGGTAACCATGTATTACTTTAGAAGGATAGTCAGAGAAATCAAAAATACCCCCTTTTTCTATTTTTAGTATTAGATTGTATGTTTAGTGTAGAATATCAGTGTGTACTCATTTTTGGGAGGAGTGTGGAGTGAGAGAAAGACTCAACCTATAAAGTAAATCATATGGCTAAATAGCATTTCTAGATAACTAATTTACTCATCTCCTAAACTAAAAATATTGAGTCCTTTTCATCTACCTTTTTGAGATTTTCAAAACCAGTTTTCTCCCCAGGACCCACCAAATTTACTTTCTAGATATCTACAGGATTGATCTTTTCTTCTCCATTCTCCCCTCAGAAATACAAGGTGGCTGGTTTGTCATTTTATTGTCATGTCATTGATAGCTTGAAAAATAAGCTGTAAGGTAGTTACTCCATATTCATTGAATAATAACTATCTTAAGGAATCTTTAGTTTCAAATTTTTATTTTTTGTTAAAAAAAATATAAAGTTAGGATTAAAGGCAAACATTTAATAAAAGGAATTTATTTATTTTATTTTATTTTTTGAGACGGAGTTTCGATCTTTTTGTCCAAGCTGGAGTACAATGGCGCAATCTTGGCTCACTGCAACTTCTACCTCCCGGGTTCAGGTGATTCTCCTGCCTCAGCCTCCCAAGTAGCTGAGATTACAGGCATGCACCACCACAACCAGCTAATTTTGTATTTTTAGTGGAGACAGGGTTTCTCCATGTTGGTCACGCTGGTTTTGAACTCCCGACCTCAGGTGATCTGCCTGCCTCGGCTTCCCAAAGTGCTGGGATTACAGGCGTGAGCCACTGTGCCTGACCAGAATTTAATTTTTACAATTATTTCTGTCAGTTGTGATGGTTAATAATTTATTAACCATTTCTTATATCACTATATGGAAATGGCAGTTCTTCAAAGAATCCAGTGCTCTTACGTGAAGTAACCCATGCATCATGGCATAGCATTCAAACATAGGATTATATTTGGAGATTACATTATATTCAACCATTCATTCATTAGCAAATAATTGTCAAAAACTATTGTGTGTCAGGTGCTATATTTGAGACTAGGGATTCAGCAGTTTTGTATTTTTAGAACATGACCCTGTCTATAAAATTTACGTATTTTATGATACTGTATGAACTACCGAGTGAGCTATTTGAAACACAGTGCCAGTGAGGCCAAGCCTCAAGTTAATATGTTGAGTTTTGTAGGGCAAATGTTCGGAGAATTTGAATACAAAGATATTTTTGAAAGAAGTCAGTGTTTTAGATACTAGAGGTAAGTTAATATTTATGAATATTAGACATTTTTATAGGAAATTTTAGCAAATAAAGGTTTTGAATTAACAAAAATAACAAATTTAGCATTATTAATAATGGCTTTTGATACCATGTTGCTAGCTTCCTAAGCTGAAAGACCATAATGTATTCATTAGTAATGTAACCCTTAACAATTTTTAAATGTGAGCGAAAATGGTTGTTTTATATTTTATTTCAAATTAGTGAAGACGCAGAGTTACTGTGGCGTTTGGCACGAGCATCACGTGATGTTGCTCAGCTTAGCAGAACCTCAGAACAGGAGAAAAAGCTATTGGTGTATGAAGCCCTAGAGTATGCAAAAAGAGCACTAGAGAAAAATGAATCACATTTTGCAGCTCATAAGGTGAGTTGCTTAACTAAGCTATTACCATGTACTGAGAGGTACATTTTCTATATTTTTCTATTATCCCTAATTTACATTGGAAGAACAATTTCTCTATTTTAAGTTTTTTTCTTTTTATTCAATCTTATGTCTTAAGGATAATTTCTCTATTTTAAAGAAGTAGGGAAGATAGTTATTTTTATGTTTTTCAAAAAGAAGTCTTTGTTTTTGTAAACATTTGGTCTAACTTCATGTGTATTTGATAAATTACTTTTGTGAATGCCTATTTTTAAACAGAAGTTTAGTAATTTCATGAATTACCTATATCTATATTCTTACTAGTATAAGCGTTTCACAAATATTTTCTCATTTTCCTCACGTTATATTTCTGTTTTATTTAGAGGTAGGAATATAACAGCTAGACAACTGAGACCTAGAATGACTTTCACATGTAACTCAGGATTTCTTGTTGGTTCACAATGACGTTTTTCAGTAAATTGTACACGGAGACGAGGTCATCATTAGCCTTCTGGATTGCTGGACTTCATAGAACCCAAAGGCAGGGTAAAGTTGGACCTTGGAAAAAAATTGGCTTGATTGCTCCGAGGCTTCATTAATTGTTTCTCTACTCTGCTGTTACCAGAAAATCTTTTTCATTGCAGATGTTTTTTTTCTCCTTATCCTAAGTCTTGTGACTTTCCACAGCACCTGGGTTTTTGAAGCATGGCCATTTTAGATTCATTTCTTGGGAAAGAAACTCAGGTTGTCTCAGTTTGGGTCTGCTGTCCAACTGTGGCTGTGGAGATAAGGTCACAGTTGACAATGTGGCTGTTCTTACTATAACAATGCAATATGGGAGGAGATGGAACTCCTAGAAAAGAGAATGAGAAAATAAAACATTCAATTACATATTCTTCTAAATTGATACTCAGACCATAAACATGAACCATTGTCTCATTGTGTTGGTAACTTTCTTGGAAAATTCACCACTTTCTACCTTGTATTATAGTTCTCTATAAACATGTCCTATCCCTGAGGCTGTTTTGTTTTGTTTTGTTTTGTTTTTAGACATAGTCTCTCTCTGTTGCCCAGGCTGGAGTACAGGGGTGTGATCTTGGCTCACTGCAGCCTCCATCTCCCGGGTTCAAGTGATTCTTCTGCCTCAGCCTCCCAAGTAGCTGGGATTACAGGTGCATGCTACCATGCCCAGCTAAGTTTTGTATTTTTAGTAGAGATGAGGTTTCACCATGTTGGCCAGGGTTTCAAACTCCTGACCTCAGGTGATCCACTCACCTCAGCCTCCCAAAGTACTGTTACAGGCATGAGCCACTGCGCCCAACCCTATTCCTGAGTTTCTAGAGGGCTATGTCCACTTTTCTTTATGTATTCCATTACATTTAATACAGTTTTTATGCTGGATGACTTTTTGTTGGATGAGAATGACTTGAAGAATAAATATTATACAGTTTTACCTTGTATTGAATGGAATATTAAGAATATTACTGTTCTTACACTTTTCTTTAATTTTCAGTGGTATGCAATCTGCCTTAGTGATGTTGGAGATTATGAAGGCATCAAGGCTAAAATTGCAAATGCGTATATTATCAAGGAGCATTTTGAGGTACTGATGAATTATTCAAATTCATGAATTTTAAAAGTCAAATTTTTCTGAATAGGTTTTTGTTTTCATTATCTATTGCTGTATTTCAAACCACCTATGATAACAGTGGAGTAGAGCCATGACAGTTTGTTATTTCTTTTCTTTTCTTTTTTTTTTTTTGAGACGTAGTTTTGCTCTTGTCATCCAGGCTGGAGTGCAGTGGCACTATCTCGACTCACTACAACCTCCGCCTCCTGGGTTCAAGCAATTCTCCTGCCTCAGCCTCCTGAGTAGCTGGGATTACAAGCGGACACTACCACATCTGGCTAATTTTTGTGTTTTTAGTAGAGGCAGGGTTTCACCATTTTGGCCAGACTGGTCTCGAACTCCTGACCTCAGGTGATCCACCTGCCTCGGCCTTTCAGAGTGCTGGTATTATAGGTGTGAGCCACTGCGCCCAGCCAAGTTTGTTATTTCTTGCAATTCTGTGGGTTAACTGAGCTCAGTGGCACTTCCACATTGCTTAGTATAGCTGAGGTCATTTAGACAGCTGCATTCACCTGGGCCCTCAGCTGAGACTACAGTGTCCAAGATGGCCTATCACCTATGAGAGTTTCTCCCCACTTGTTTTTTTTATCACTTAGTTGTCTAGCTCAGCCTTCATTATAGCATGGTAGTTGGCTTCCAAGAATGAGTGTTCCATGGGAAAAGATCCAGTGTGCAAACTTTTAGCAAGCCTCTGCTTGCATCATACTTGGTAATATCCTATTAATCTAAACAAGTCACAAGGGCAAGCCCAGTTTCTGTGGGAGGGGACCAGTGACACAAGTTCCTGAATATGGAAAGTGTGGTCCAGTGTAGCAGTCTTTAACACAATTGACACACCACTCCTTGTAGTAATAATTCTATTTAAGATTGATATCTGTGTGTGTATTGTATGCGTGTTTTATTAAAAATATTTTCCCCTAAAGTTTATAGTTAGCTGTTAGGTGCTAAGGATTGCATAGGAGTCCGTATATTTCTTAACGTGTATGAACTTCATTGTCTCAAAAAAAAAAAAAAAACCCACAAAAAACCAGCATATTTATTGCTCTTTTGAGATTATAGGAAGGAAAAGTGATGGAAACATACATAGGAATAGTGCTGAATTTGCTGTTTAAATAGTTTTGCAGAATTTTATGGTTTAGTGTCAATTCCTAGTTTATATAACAACTAGTGAAAAAGAATGACTGAGAGTCAAGAGACCTAGCTTTTCTTGTTCAGGTATGGATAGTAATATATACCTAATAACTGACATTTTATAATGTAACACTTTACCTGTTTCACAGTTTAAAATCCTTGAAATGAGATTACATGATGTAATCACTGGAACCTTACATTGTAGTTGGCAGTTATATTTTCTTTCTTAGTGGCACATAAACTAATGGTGTGTCATTTTTGATATTTTAGATTTAGGGAAATACAGTAATTTTCTCAGTGGCATTAGATAGATCACTTAATTTCTCTGTGTCTCAGGATATAGAAATACATGACGTAACTTCCAAAGTGAATAATGAAGAACTGTAGAAAAAATACAAATGTATGCTTTTCTCTTTTTTTAACAAAACAGTGAAGATCATAGATTATAAAAAAAAAAGTGTTTTATATAATAAGCTTTCAAATGTACATGTTTAAATATATTTTAAATGGCAGTATTTAGTATTTACATATTAAAAGGATCATTTATACTACTTACATTTCAAATTCCATTATATATCCAAAGTGGCAAGGAATTACCATCTTTGGATTCTTTTTGAAAGACCAATGGCAGGAAAGATTGATTATGAAAGAGTTTGCTTGAAAGTACCCCCTCTCAACGCTTCCCACAAGAAAATTAAACCCTGGCCTGGGCGGCTGCCTCCGCAATGCCACTGCTTGTTGAGGGGTGGCGAGTGTGGCTGCTGCAGTTCGCCAGGGACCTCGTCCAAGCCCACCTGCCTCTGGAGGAAAGAGCCAGACGTCTCAGAGGTCAGTCTGTTCAACAAGTGGGACCCTAGGGCCTTCTGTATGTTCAGCGGTGACCTCCCCAGAGGATGGCTCCATCTCCATTCTGGGTTCTGATAATGCCACTACTTGTCACATTGTGGTCATGTGGCACACAGGTAACGGGGCCACCTGCTTGACACATTGTGATGGAACTGACACCAAAGCTGAGGTCCCCTTGATCATGAAGTCCATAAAATCCTTTTCTGACCACGCTCAATGTGGAAGGCTGGAAGTATACCTCGTGGGAGGCTTCAGTGATGTGGGAGGCAGTTGTCACAAAAACTCATTCATTAACTTCTTAGTGAATCTGACAGGAAAGAAGATGACATTCACTTAGTGGTATTATGATTATGTGTGACGGAATTAAATGACCGGGAAGAAAATGAATACCACTTTCTAATAATATATGGCATTGCTGTCAACTTGAGACTGCAGAGATTTACAGAGCCTCCTTTCTTTTATTTTTTGCTTGGGATAGAATCTCCTCTGTTGGCCAGGCTGGAGTGCAGTGGTGTGATCTTGGCTTACTGCAGCCTCCACTTCCAGAGTTCAAGTGGTTGTCCTTCCTCAGCCTCCCGAGTAGCTGGGATTACAGGCGCCTGCTGCGATGCCCAGCTAATTTTTGTATTTTTAGTAGAGACAGGGTTTCACCATGTTGGCCAGGCTGGTTCTCAAACCCCTGACCTCAAGTGATCTGCCTGCCTCAGCCTCCCAAAGTGCTGGGATTACAGGCGTAAGCCACTGTGCCCGGCCTACAGAGCCTCCTTTCAAGATCGAGGTCTGGAGGAGCAGCTGCATGCCGCATGAGTTTTAGCAGGAGGACCAATGATTCGCATTTACGATGCAAAGACAGAACAACTTCGTATAGGACTGTACTCCTGGATGCCATTTCCACATGTGGATTTCTGCTTGCAGCAGGATGACAAGCAAATACTAGAGAATCTTTCCACTTCGTGTCTGGCCGAGCCGTCCCACTTTGTTGAACATACTAGATCTACCTTGATGGTTTTTTAAAAAATACTGCTCCAACTAACACACAGTTTCCTGGAAATAAAGCCCTACTCTACAAAAAAAAAAAAAAAAAAAAAAAAAGAAGATGGCTTATGGGAAAAGATCTCTTCTCCAGGAAGCTAAAAAATAGGAATTACCAAAGAAATCAGCACCTTCTGGGCTTGACAGAGACAGACCATTGGTGGGGCTGTCAAGAATACAAATTTGGAAACTTATATCCGTTGGGTCTTAGGTCTTCTCCTTCTTTCCTCAGTGTTTTTCAAGTAACTTTCAAAATAAGACCTTATTTTGGCAAAGGCAAAAAAAAAAGGAAAATTAAAGCCTGATCCCCCCAGGCATCCATTGTGATGAATTGACTTCCTTCCTATGCATCTAGAATGGGACTACAGTATCTCTATATCATTCTTAGGAAATGGAAAAAATACTTACTTACACAGTTTTTTGAAGGGCTTAATTTTTAGTGGAATTCCAATTGGGAAAGGTTGCTTAGAGTATAAGTTGCATATAAACATGTTAAAATATTTTTATTTTTTACCACAACCTTATGAGTTAAGTGAGTATATGACTTTTCTATAAAAGAGAAAAAACTCAGTCGTGGTAACAATGTAGATGTTGCAGCCAGTTCAGGGTCATTAAGCTGTGACTTGAATCCTGTCAGTCTGGCTTCAGAGACCATGCTCTTAACCATTACAAATATTTGAAAATGTGTACCTCACACATTACTAAACTGAAAGCAAAAATGTGGGTTTATAGAAAAGCATAAACTAGGAAATCTTAATTTTTTCAAAAACAGTCCTTTTAATATGATCAACATTAATCTGTAAGATTTCTTTAGTGGTTTTCAACAAAATAATGGATAAAAGGAGGAACAGTTTCTTTAAAGGTATTCTGTAGTTTATGCTTCACACTAATTCACATAGTAAATAGAAATTAGGGAGATTCAACATTTTACGTTGCACATAATTATTCTATAAACTGTTTATTTTTCCTTTGGTAAGTACAGATGGGGAAGTTGAACAAAATCTGCATACAAGAAGAGACTTTCTAAAAATAGAAAAGACTTTCTAAAATCTACATAGAAGAGACTTTCTAAAACTAGATTTTTTCTAAAAAACTACAAAGCATTTTTAGTTCTTCTTTAGGAAATAATGACTTTTATTCAGTATTCATCTACAGTTTGCCAAGAAAGTACTTCCTTATTCATTTTTCCTTTAATCTGGAAGAAACATTAAGAGCTATAGATTATTAATTTGCAAAATCAATTCATTTATGTATTCATGTTTTTTCTCATCTTGATAGACACTATAAATGTCTGAACCTTACAAAATAGTAACCTTAGTACAAGTCATTAATAGTGTTTTGAAGTGAATTTAATCAAAGAATCAGGATTATTAATTATTAATATTAATTATAATGGGAGAATTGAAACACACGATTTTTTTTTTTTTTTTTTACAAAAATCATGGCTTCTTCAGCAAACACAGTAAAGCACCTATTGGTGTTTAGAAAATGCATACAATTTGTTTTTCTCATTTCTTGTTAGAAAGCAATTGAACTGAACCCTAAAGATGCGACTTCATTTCACCTTATGGGTATTTGGTAAGAAAATTTATTTCAATATTTCAGTAGTATTTAGTGTGATATTATTTTGTAGTATGTATAAATATCTTTTGCATATATAAAAGATATTAAATATTTTAAAATATTATCTGACAGAGTTTAGAGGGCTAAATCCATTAACTAGCACTCGTATATGTATTGTTAGAACATACTAAATTTGATTATGACCCTGTTAAACATTGTTATTCAGGTCATTTAGAAACATGTACAGACTGAAAAGACTGTTCTTACTTACCATGCTAAATGAAATTAATGTAACTATAGTAAAACAGTAGAATGCCCCAAGAGGGTCTTTGTATCTTCAAAGTGTGTCAGATATAGTCTGGATTAATCTGAGGAATGATATAATCTGATTTTCAGTATCTGTCCATTTTTATGTGATCTTATGTCCACTGTAGATTATTATTGTGCTGGTATAAGGCTTTATCAAAGTGTTCTGTACTTGATGGTTTAACAGTCTGTTTTGAGATCGATGGGCCACTCTTTTGAGTATGGTCTGCAGAGCTAAATATTTACTGCCATCTAAGAAGGGTACCAGTGTAAACTGTCCTGTGTCAAACTCTTTAAAAAGAGAAATATATTCTTCAGGATAAAGGACATATTAAGCTAACACTCACTCACTGAGGATTAATGATAATTGAGGGGCAGTCACTAAGTCAGATGCTAGTAAGCAAACCCAAATGAAATAGCAGTTTCTGCCTTAAGGACTTCAGATCCTAGTCAAAGATCCAACACTTTCTTTCCTACTTATTTCTGAAAGTTGTAAAGATCTTTGGAGGTTAATCATTTGCTTTGCCCCTTTAAAAATGGATTTAAGTTGTCGGTTGCTGTTATTTATACATTTGATGTTTAGCTTTGTCATTTTTCCTGAGTAAGGTTTAACTTCTCTGAGTTTTTCTTCTATAAAAAAATAGGGGAAATTATCCTATCTCATATATAATTGTTACAAAGAATAAGTGAGAGAATAATCAGCCCAGTACCTGGCACAATGCTTTCAATGGTAGATGCATATTATATTACTGTTATTAGTATGACTGCTTACTATTTATATTTAATCACAAAATACACATCCCAGCTAACGGATCACTATGTCAATCTCTGGTTTACCTGATAATCATGTAAAGCACAAGTTGTTTAAACATACAGTACAAGACTCCTTTTATAGTATTAAGATGCTTCGTTATCTGTAAGTGAAAAGAAGGTGCAATTTGAATGTATAAAATTGTATTATTTCCTTGTAGGTGCTATACATTTGCTGAAATGCCTTGGTATCAAAGAAGAATTGCTGAAATGCTGTTTGCAACTCCTCCAAGTTCCACCTATGAGAAGGTAGTATGATGTCCTTTGTTAAGTTAGTACTGATTTATTAACCACAGTGCCATTCCACAGTGTTCACACATGTAGAGCTCTGATTCAGTGAGGGACTTGAGCAATTTCTAATGATCCAATTCAACTATGTTATCACAAGGCTTAAAATTTATTATTCATGACTGGTGAGCGGTTTTCTTTTTCCCCGTTAGGTGAGTGGCTGGTAATTCTGGAATACTGTCATTTAAAATGGCTCGTGGCTAAAATCTACCTTCATTTTCTGTTTGAAATCTAAACCATATTGAAGTCACAAAAATAGAATAAGAAATACAGCAACTGTTACCCAGCATGTTTTAGCTGTATTATACACAATAATAGAAAAGTAAAGCACATGCTTGAGTTGATAAAAGAAGAACACTCATTATAACTCGGATTTTAAAAAGCATATGAAAGGTTCATATTCTGTCATATTTTCAAGGCCTTTGTTTTTCTTGTTAAAAATAAAATTTGAGAGGAATTTCTGGTTAAACTTTGGGTTTACTCATCACAAGCTTTTCAGAGTAAGAAAACAGGCAATTGAGAAAGCTGTACTTATATTACTTACATTGTAACAAGGAACTTTTCTTTCTTCTGGGAAGCTATAGTGTAGAAATTGATGTAGAAAAATACTTAGTTGTATTCTTTACACACAGTTGAGAAATATTATTAAAATAATGCACTTTGGTGGCATTATTTTATAATACATTATTTTATAATGGCATTGTTAAAATAATGCCCATTTGCTGGGCACAGTGGCTCATGCCTGTAATGCCAGCACTTTGGGAGGCTGAGGTTGGTGGATCAGTTGAGCCCAGGAGTTTGAGACCAGCCTGGGCAATGTGGCAAAACCTCTGGAAAACAATACAAAAATTAGCCAGGTGTGGTGGCCTGTGCCTGTAGTCCCAGCTACTCAGCTAAGCTGAGGGAGAAAGATCTTGAGCCTTGGAGGCCAAGACTGCAATAAACAGTGATTGTGCCATAGCATTCCAGCCTGGGCAACAGAGTGAGACCCTATCTTAAAAAAAAAAAAAAAATCATTTTAAGGACAAAAAATATAGTCAGCTCTACTTTATCAAATTAGTTATGTTTCTAAGAAATCAAATGTCATTAGAGAATGCATTACAAAAACAGTAGCTTAAGTAGGACAAAAAGTGTTTCAGACCCACAATAACATTGTATGTAGGAATTTCAATAATAATGGACTCTTAAAAATTCACTAGTACAACCTGAATCAATTCAGCTTTTGATTATATTTCATTTTTACTAGAAATCACTAGTTATTATTTAAGAGAACTGTCAAAATAGCTGAGTTACACATGATAATGTTCTTTCCTTTCTGCACATCATGTTAGTTCGGTACAAGTTCTAAACAGCAACCAAGTTATTACCAGAAGTAGTCCATATATTGTCATCTTAATGATGATTTAAGTGTTACGTTCAGTTTGGGTGTTAACTCTCACTGTTGAAGAAGTGACCATTATTTTAAGATGATTTACTTCCTGACTTTAATATAGGAATAGGTCTTTGAGACAATGCTTTTTTAATATTGTCTGTTTTAATCTTTTTTATTATGTTTGGGCTCTTTTTGTTTTTGACAGGCCTTAGGCTACTTTCACAGGGCAGAACAAGGTACGGTATTTTTGATTACACATATTAATACAGTAAAATTGTATGAATGCTGTATATATATATATACTATAATAGCAATTTCTAAAGCAAAGTTATTTATTCTGCTATGCTTGTTTTTGTGCTAGATATTGTAAAACAATTTTTAAAGTCTTTATTCAGTAAAGATCACCTGAATGAGAAATAGGCTGCTACTGAACTTGAGCTACAGTTCTGGAATGTCCATCATTTGATGTAATTCAGCCTTCCTTTTTGAGAGGAGTCTCTGACATGGTAATTGTCTTATTCAAGACTGCACATATTGGCCAGATGTGGTGGCTCACACTTGTAATCCCAGCACTTTGGGAAGCCAAGGCAGGAGGATCACTTGAACCCAAGAGTTTGAGACCAGCCTGGGCAACATAGTGACACCTCATCTCTACCAAAAAATAAAAATAAAAATTAGCCAGGTGTGGCAGCACACACCTGTAGTCCCAGCTACTCAGGAGGCTGAGGCAGGAAGGTCACTTGAGCCCAGGGGTTCCAGGCTACAATGAGCTGTGATTGCAGCACTGCACTACAGCCTGGGCCACAGAGTGACACCTGTCTGGGGGGAAAAATATATATATATATGTGTGTGTGTATATATATATGTATCTCATTAGAGGCATTTAAATGGGAATTCTGCTATCCAGCCAGGGTAGTCTCTTGCAGATATTGTGATAAAGAGTTTCAGGTCATGTTTGTTTTGAAAAGTGACTAGTCCTATGAAACTGTCACCAGGCCATCCTAAATTTATCCTTTTTAATATTCATACACTAAGTGGGGGAGATAAGAGACATAAGCATATGTTACCAAATAGACCATAAAAACCATTGAAATATATTCTATAAAACTTAATCAGGAGAAAATTAAGAAGATCCCATGTTTATTAAATTTGAGATCCCACACATAATAGACTTGTTCATTTCATGATAATAGTTTTCTACAGAATTTTATCTGAATGTTTTATCTCTGTAATTTATCAATTCTGACTTACATTATTACCTTCTACTAATACCCTTTCATGATCATACTGTTTCACATACCATAAATATGAATCTAGGAATGACTTTTTTTTTTAAAAGAGATTTAAAAGTTAATTACGAAGTAAAAATATAGGACTTAGAGACTTAAGGGTTGGGTGTGTTGAGAAAAACATGGTCCTTCCCTCATGGAGCTAAAATAAATCTGTGGTAACTTCAATCATTCTTCAGTGACCTTACCTTATTTCTTTCTGGTTCATATTCAGTTCAGAAGCTCCTCCGATGCCCTTAGTATCTTTTGTTTCTCCAGTGACACTTATCACTCAGTACTATAACACTCACATGTCTAAGATTGTACATTCAGAGAAGACGGGGACTTTGTCTTTTCTGGCTCACAATTGCACACTCATTACTTGGCACAATGCTTGGCAAATTTGTTCAATGACCGAGTAAATAGATGAATGATTGGATGAATGAATTTAAGAATATATTTAACCACAGGACAACTTAAGTATATCAACATGGCATCACACAAATCTGCTCAAATAAAAGAAGTAAAACAATTTTGGCTAAGGAGCACGTGGAATTAATCATTAATTGTATACAGGAAAAAGTATGCTTTGAATACAGAGGATCTCAGATTGTTAGGAAACTTTGTGGAGAATGAAGTTGGTGAGATAATTCTATGCTTTCATTCATAGGCTTTCTATTTATGCTTTTCTCTCAGCCAAGAATGTTCTCCACTTTTTTTTTTCTTTTTTTTTTTGGTGTCTCATACCATTTCAAAGTTTGTATATCTAGCAAAGCATTCCCTTCATTTTTATATTACATTTAGTTGTATTCATGTTTCTTTCTCCTTTTTGTTATAAAGTTGAAAAAAGCAGAGCTTTTGTTTCATCCTCTATGCTTAAGTATAGCTGACATCCAGTAAATGTTGATCAAATATATATATGTCATAATCATTATTTCATTCACTTATTCAGCAGATGTACACTGAATGTATGTTGTTTCACACACTGTTGTAGGCACTTGGGGTACCATAGGGAACTAAAGAGATTAAAAAGAGTATCACTGTCCTCAAATAGCATACATTCTATCAGGAGCTTCAGCTTCTCATCTATAAAATGGAGATACCCACTTGCAAAGTTGTGAAAATCAGAAATGTATATAATACAGTGCCTAGCACATTTGTAGATGTTCATTAAATGGTAATTATTATTTTACAAATATTTGTTTGAGATATAAACAGTTGAACAAAAGAGAATTTCCATTAGTCTAATCACTTATTGACCAAATTTATTGAAATTTAGACCTCAAAATCAAACCTTTAAAAATAAAAGCAACACTATTTCATCTGAGATCATTTTTTTCTTTCCTATGTGCAGTGGATCCAAACTTCTACAGCAAAAACTTACTTCTTTTAGGAAAGACATACTTGAAACTACACAACAAAAAGCTTGCTGCTTTCTGGCTAATGAAAGCCAAGGACTATCCAGCACACACAGAGGAGGATAAACAGGTAAAACATCTCCCATAAAGTAAGGCAGAAATGTTTTGAGGCACTATTAAATGGTGAATTAAGAACTGTAAAAGCATAATTTTCTAAATGCATAACATTGTTGAAAACAGGTGTGTTCATTTCAAGCGTAAATTCATTGACATTTATATTTCTATATAGGAAATGTTTAGTTACTGTCACCAAATAGATGTTAGGGGTTGCCTGCTACAATACAGAATTATTCCTGTTTTGACACACATGGCAGATGGAGTTAAGATTTCTAAAACATAAAAGTCAAGGGATGTGTACTAAAGTGGAAGAGCTAAGAGTCTCATTGGGTCACTGTCAAGAAATTTTATTGTTATAATGTCCTATCTGGTGTTTGGAAACTCTTAGAAACCCCACTTTATAAACTTAAATTTCACAAGTTAGTCTCTTAGCTCTCCTGTTTACTTATAACATGTATTTTTCCATTTTAGATACAGACAGAAGCTGCTCAGTTGCTTACAAGTTTCAGTGAGAAGAACTGAGAACTTTTCAGAGATGATGTATGAAACAGCTAATAAACATTGCCTTTTCATTTAATTATAAAAATATATGAACTATAACTGTTCTACGGCTTTTAAAATGTTGTGACCATTTAACAGTGTAAATATAAAAAATTCTAGGCTTCTTCACAAATAATAAAGTAAAATAAATAATTGCCATAAGAGTGGTAGAAATAAATCTCCATGGCTCAGGCAAAGATTATTTTGCATCCTGGATACCAGCAATGCAAAATGGTGTGAGATTTCTAAGGATTGATCACATAGGGATGGGAGATCAAGCAAAGAAAGCTTTGTAGAGGAGGGGAAATGGATCTATAGGGGATATACAGGGAGATGGATTTTCAAGTTGGATGGATTCTAAGTTGAGATCTTTGCAGAGAAGGTGTGGTAAAAGAGGTTAGGATTTTGTGGTTTCCTGACATAAAGTAGTTAAATGATGTATCTTGGAGCTAACCTGTATAAGGAAGGAATTAAGTCAGGAGACGACTAAAAATTGAGTGGTTTCCTTTTTTATTTTTATTTTTTTGAGACAGAGTCTCACTTGGTCATCCAGGCTGGCGTGCAGTGGCATAATCTTGGCCCACTGCAGCCTCCGCCTCTCCGGTTCAAGTGATTCTCCTGCCTTAACCTCCTGAGTGGCTGGGATTACAGGGTTGTACCACCACACCTGGCTTTTATATTTTTGGTAGAGATGGGGTTTTGCCAGGTTGGCTAGGCTGGTCTCAAACTCCTGGCCCCAAGTGATCTGCCCACCTCGGCCTCCCAAAGTGCGGGGATTACAGGTGTGAGCCACCACGCCTGGCCAGTTTCATCTAAATGTGGTGTATAGTCTCATGGTAGACTGAATTTATCAGACACAAAGCTCTATTCCTTAATGGAATGGAAGGAACACAAAACTTAAGAGTGAAATGGAATACTAACATGTTTTTAAATAGGCAGGACTGTGCTACTCACTTGAGGCTGGAGTGCCACCACTGCAAAATCTTTTTAAGTTTTGTAAAAAGGAGTATCATCTTGAATCCACTTGGATAAAGAGAGACTGTGTGTAGGTGGACTTTTCCCAAAGGATTTGGAAATTGTAATGTTACAATGAACTGTATGGATATGCTTATCATGTACATTTTCAAACAAAAAGGAAGACCGAAAGTAGTAATCTTTGTACACCCATCTCAGATTCAACGATTCTGCTATATAGGTTGTGTATCTCTTATCTGAAATACTTGTGACTAGAAGCAGCATTTTGGATTTGGGAATTTTTTTCAAATTTTGGAATATCTCCATACACACAATAAGACATCTTGGAGATGGGATCCAAGTCTAAACACAAAATTCACTTGTTTCATATATACCTTATGCACATAGCCTGAAGGTAACTTTATGTAATTTTTTAAAATAATTTTGTGCATTGAGACAAAGTTTGCATACATTGAACCATCAGAAAGCAAAGGTGTCATCTCAGCCACTCATGTGATCAATTTGTGGTTTGATGTCACCATCATTCCTGACTGAATTTATATGCTACCAATAAGCAGTTACTATACTTATTCCTGCATAACTACTTAACAGTAAAAAAAAATGACATAATTCGCATAGGAACAAAGATGGCAAAAAAAAAAAAAAAAAAAAAGACATACTATTGATGCAGTGAAAAAATAATGTGGTCAGGGTAGCTAGGCAATAGTAGCATCACCAGAAACCTGTATCAGCTGTTTAACGGCAGCAACAAACAATGGCAGGCTTTCAGTCTCCCGCTTATGATGCTGTATTTTAAAAGGTTATTGTATACTGTATTTTATTTTTGTAGGTGAGGAGAAACAGAAGCAGTTGAAGGGCCAGAAGTGGGTCTTTCTAGGGATGTGGTGGTATTCTGCTGGATGGCTTTTTAAAATGGGTTTTTTCCTGTAGGGAAACCGAATAAACTGTGTTGTGCACCTGCATTGTGACTGTGACCTGTTACATGAGGTCAGATGTGGAATTTTCTACTTGTATCATCATTTTGGCACTCAGAAAGCTTTGAATTATGGAGCACGAATTTCATGTTTCAGATTTTTGGATTCAGGGACGTTCAAACTGTATTTATATGTATGTCTGTGTGTGTACAAACACATACATTTCTAAACCTTTTGAAATTAATTGCAAGCATCATAATAGTTCACCCCTAAATGTGTCAGCATGCATTTTCTCAGAATAAAGACATCTTCCTGAACAAACACAAAACCATTATCACAACTGGAAAAGTTAACAATGCTCTAACATCATCTAATATCTACCCATATTCAAATTTTCTCAAACGTCCCCAAGATGTCTCATGCTTCTTAAAATCAGGATCCAAATTGCATTTGATTTGTTGCTTATCTTTCAATCTAGAACAGTTCCCCATTTTTTTCTTCTTGCAACATTGACTTTTTGAATAGGCCAGTCCATTTGTCATAGATTCTGTCACATTCCAGATTGGCCTAATTGACCACACCTTGAGAACCGCTGTTCCAGCTTATTTCCAGGACTCAAATTAGTTCTATTAGATCTTTGCCTGACTTTCATATTTATCACTTACTGATTTTTCTTTTAGGCTTTTTGTTTCATTTTCTTGGCTCTTTTCATTTATATCTTCCATATCCCTTATTTTACTTTTGGTTGTATCTCTTCTTCCTTAGATACTTTATAATTGCCTTCATGTCTGATATGTTTGTCTTTTTCTCTGAATGTTTTTCCTGATTTTAGCCAGTCATTCACATCTGCATTTTGTTTGTCCAGTTCTGAGTTTTTAAGTTGCTATTTTGGATTTTTTAAATATCTAATAATTTAATTCCTATTAGCATATTGTTTTAAAGTTTACTTTTTTCTCATTTTCAGTTTTCTCTTTAGTGATTTTATTTTTTTCCCTAGGGATGTAATTTTATGTTGAGTTACCAGCAATACTAAGTCATCAAATGGGAGGAAAGGGTCTGGGTTAGTTCAAGAATACTTTCTGCTAAGTTGTTTTTTGTGAGATCAGGTATCATTCAGTAATAAAGCTTTTTATGGAGTGAGGTTTTACCTCCTGATTCCTTACTAGAACTTTAAAAAATATTTTTACTTCCAAATAATTATAGATTCACACACTAAAAAAAAAAAAAAAAAAAGTCCTGTGTACCCGTCTCTCAGCCTGTCCCAGTGCTAACATCTCATATAACCTAAAGTACAATACAATAGCAAAGCCCAGAAACTGACATTGGTACAGACCACAGACCTTATTTAGATTTTACCACTTTTAAATGCTCTTGTGTGTATAGTTGTATGCAGTTCTATCACATGTAGATTTTTGGTAACTGCCACCATAATCAAGATACAGACCTGTTCCATCATCGCAAAGATCCCTAGTGCTGTCCCTTTATAGTCACGCCCATCCACCTCCTCTCCCCCACCCATCCCTAGCTCTGACAAGCACTAATCTGTTCTTCATAATTTTATTTCAACAGTGTTATACAAATGGAATCATACAGTGAGACCCTGTGACACTTTTTTTCACTCAGCATAATTCCCTTGAGACCTAAGTTCTATCAATAGTTTGTTCCTTTTTAGAGTTGATTAGTATTTAATTGTATGGGCATACCATATCAATCATATGCTGAGGGGCATTTAGGTTATTCCTGATTTGGGGCTGTTACAAATCTGCTATGAGCATTATATGCCGGTTTTTATGTCTACATAAATTCTCTCTCTCTGGGATACATGTCCAGGAGTGTGGCTACTGGGTCCTTATCTTCATTTTTCCCCTTTACTCTCTGAGGGTTAGGTTTCTTCTGCAAGACATGGTGCCTTCCCAAGATTCTAATTCTGTGCACTAAGTCGCTTCCACTTGACTTCCCAGGAGCCTGATTCCCCACATGTCACATTGGTTCTTGATGTTTCCCCACTAAGGATGAGACCCACTACTGAGAAGGAACCCCAGGAATCCCTTACTCCTTCCCCTGCAGCCCCCACCTGATTCTGTTCTTGTGTGGATTCCAGAGCTGACTGCTGGATTGAGATGCTTATTTCCCCATATACATGTATATAGAAGTTGGTAGTACTCTGTCTTCTAAGCGTATTACATACACAGGCTATCTCTCTCCTTTATAGATGTTTCCTTCCTTCCTTTTGAGGATGTGAGTAGAATACTGATTTTGGAAAGTGGCCATGATCCTATAAGAATGTAAAAGTCCTCAATTTCTTGATGGCCAAGTTATCTCAACTGAGTTTTTAATCACGGGCTGTGTACTAGCTGTGGATGTTGTAAAAATGTCTTCCCTCATACTCACTTTCCTCATCTATAAAAAAAGCACCATTAAAGACAACCCCCACCAATTTCATGGAATTGTAAGGATTAAAAGAATAATTTATGTAAAGGATTTGCTATGAATACCAATAAATACAACTACTATTACCTCTGATTTTGTTCTTGATTGAGAATTGAGGAGAGAAATTTTGGAATTTAGGAGATATCACTTTTGGACTTAGATCAAATCCCCAGTTGACCTAAAGCTTGGCTTTTAAGGCCAACTAAGTGTTACAGGACAACTTTTATTTGCGTATTTCAACAAAGGAAGATTTTTACTTCTGCATCATCCACCAATCTTCTTAGGTTCAACCAAACATTCAGACTTAACAAGTCTACAACAGGCTATATTTGGCACCAATTTACTCAGAAGGCTCTAGGACAGGAACCACAGCTCACCAGCAGGACAATTTTGAACCTCCTTTTCAGAAGACAATATTCTAACAGCAATGCAACGGTATCTCCCCAGGTGACAGCTCAGGGTCCTCCTTAAAGGACATGCAGTTACAAGACTTTTCCACTCAAGTATGCCCAAAGCTGTGGCTTTCTATCATGTATCTGGAGATTTCCCAGTCCAGATGCAACTTACCAGTCCTAGGGGTCATACTTACCGGAAGCAAAGTTGCCTGGCAATACATCCTATTTAGTTGTCAGGGTAGGAAGAGGTAGGTAGTTAACAGAAATCATCAGGGGGAAAGGTTTTGTTAACCTTTTCATTTTCAACTACTTGGGAAGTATGGGGGTGAGGGGGGGAACCCCAAACACTGGTAAGCTGCTTTCCCTGGAAGACAAATAGCTAAACTGATCTAATAGACACAATTGTATTGGGTCTGTGATCTATTCCCTGGACTATTTACTGGTGGTGGGGGCGGGTGAATCATCAAAATGAAGTAGCAGTATAAACCTGTCTCTGAGCCTCCCTTTTGTCTGTTTCCTCATGAACTGCACAGACTGTCTTGCACTCCCTAATTTCGTTCTGGTTGGTCCAGCTGGGAAGGGAAGAAAGGGAGAAGGTGAGTGAGGGACCGTATTTCTACAATTTTTCCGACTGCTACTGGGTAGATAAATCAAGACAGCTCTGCCTGTAGGTCTTGGATATCTATAACTGGGTGTGAAAAGTGGAAGACCCTGATGAATTCTCCAAAACAAAGCTGGTTTGGTCTCTTGTAGGGTTCTGTGTAGCCTCACCTGGTGCATCGTAATTTCTTACTTGAGGAGGGAGACCAGCACCCTGAAAACGAACTGGAAAACCACCTTCTTTAGTCAAATCTGCTAAATCATACCTCCAATGAATGATATTCAATAACTTCTGTCATAGCAAAATTTATACAGCAGTGGTACCATTTGTAATTCTAATACTTAACTCTTATGGTATAATTAAGGCAGTCCTTTTTGAAGACCAGTTACCCTCTATCACATAACCTGTCACATACATTAGAATTTTTTAAAGATTCTTTAGGCTTGAAAATAACCAGAGTGTTCATAATTAGGATTTGGAAAAGGAGTCTATTCAGCCAAGCAGATCACTGCCTTTCTTTCGCCTTTACTAAGTCAGTTCCATGGCTATAAAAAATGTTTAAGTTGATGAAATTTACAGTGCATATTAAAAGCATGATACAAATGGAAATTTAAAATTTTGTATTAGGAAGCCCAGTTTGCTAAAAGTAGCATTAATATCATTCACACCAGATTTTAATTTGTTACACATTTTTGTAGTTCAGCAAAGGCCTTATGATGAAAAACAATTAAAAAGTGTTACTTACGACAAAAATAATTATCTGTGTAAAAAGGGGGAGACTCAAAAGATTTTTATATGCTTATTTAATTCAGATAAATAGAACTGTTATGAATTTGAGAGGAATGAAGATAGTCAAATACTAACAGAAAATAATTAGCCTCATATCAGAGCATTCAAATGCTTATGTAACTCTTCAATCCATCTGGCTTCATAAAATCCAAAACTTTGAACACAAAAAAAGTGGCAGAGTTCACATTACCTTTTGTATGTTCCTAAGTATGAAACTGCATCAATTTATTATGAATTAAATTTGAAAAACATCACAGATTTAAAAACAAAGTACAAAAGTGCCTGATTCTTTTTAATTCCACAAATACCTAGCATCTCAACATGTAAACAAACTTCTATGCTGCTCAATGAATCTTTCCAATTTCGATAAACTAAATAGTATCAGATCTAGTATATGACTTTCATGTGTAAGTTATGGTTTTATCCATTACTTTGACAATATTACTGATGTAACAGAGAGAAAAATTTTCAACTATTGTATTTATTTAAAACAAACTGACAGGTTCAAGCACCTGTCTTCAGAAAAGCCAGCAGCATTTTTTTTTTTTTTTAAACATACTCAAAGTAAGATTTGGCCTAAGCCCTTAATACCTTCCTGAACAGCCATGCAACTAAACACCCTCAGGAGATGTTACATAAGGGAGAGAAGAACATGGAGCAATTTGCACTTTTTCCCCTAGATAATATTAACAAGGTAAAGCAAATCCAGATCTTTATGAATGAACGGCTGTCATGTTTCATACACTTGGAGCTCTATAAAACTAGAGCCACTATCATATATGCTTTTATAGATATATATGTATTTTTAATAAAGTCTCTCACTTGCTTCAAAATTTAAGGATGATGTTTTTCCTGGTCAGTCATTTCAAGGGAACAATAAATAAAGTAGAAAAGGATGAACTGTTTTGCATATTTCTGTGGAAGAACGGAAAACATACTTTGAGAGGTTCGGAAAATTCACTGTACAGAATGAACAGCTTATATACACTATCTGTGCAATTTTTCTTGGCTGGGGTATTTAAATGCAAGAGCTCCTCCAAAATAAGAAGCCACATTCATTCTTGTCCAAATCCCTCTGTCTCTTCTATTGCAAAAAGAAGTTTTTCCTTTAGTTGTTCATAACTCTTATATGGTGGTAGATCCAAGCGATTAAAACTGAACAGAAACAAAAACAAAATCAGATGTTTTCAATAAAATGAAAAAAAAAATACAATATTTTTCAAAGCACATAGAAAAGCTGAATGGATATATGAATATATACTATATATGTAAAAATTTTGCCAGAATTAATTCTAACAATTTACTACTATAATATTACTTAATTGGTATATTAACATTTCTAAATTTCTTAGAGTAATCCAAATTTAAGACTTACATATAAAAACTATTTTAACATCTCCGAGAGGAAAATGGAATTACAAATAATAAGTGTAGCAATTTGGATAAAGACAATTTTTTAAAAAAAAATCAATTTTCTTTTTACTATTCCTGTTACGTGTGTTATGAGTCCTCCTAATTTCTCTTAGGATAAGAGTCCATTTCTTTCATCCACTCAGTCACTCATTCATCAGTCATTTACCGAGATTTTTTGACATAACCGATAAGCTAGTGACACAGTGAAGAAAACTAAAATCCCTGTCTTCATGGAATTTACATTCTGGGGTGGAGACAGTCAGTGAACAAATATATACATCTGTCTTTTCAAATAATCTAACCACATATATAAACTCTTCTAAAATGATACTTTTTCAGCCTTGTCATACTCAAATAATTCCATTCTGGGATTAACTGATGAAAAATGTTAAAATACTAAAAAATGCTTAAAATAACAATATTATTTTTCAGTTTACAAAGGTGAAATCACATTTCATTTTGTAAGGTACAGCACTGAGTAGCTAGATTAGGATTCGGGTGTTCAGGGTTTTGGTCCCCACAGTAGCAGTGACTAGTGAGATAGCTCTGAGTAAGTCAGAACGCTTCTGTACCTTCATTTTCCCATGCAGAAGCTTTCTAGAGATTATCCAGGTACCCTCTTACCATTCCCACCACTTTCCATGTGCCCTTGATCCTCCCATGTTAGAGTTAGGAAAGAGCCTTTGAAACAAGGCATCTAATTAAAACAGTGCTGTTTTAAGACTGTATTCTTTGTATTTTAAAAGAAGTTAAAGATATTAATAGCAGCAACTAAGCAGACCATCTACTGCCTTCCCCTTTAAACTATACTTCAAGGTAGAGTATGATAACAAGGTAAAAAAAAAAAATACTATTTTTCAATACTTCCTATATAAGACAACCAGTCACTTTCTGTTCTCTTACATCTTTCACATATAGCCTTTGCCAAATTCTGTCATTCTGTCTACCAAATATTCCATTTTTTCTCCTGCTTATGTATTTATTTGGAGACAGGGTCTGGCTCTGTTGCCTAGGCTAGGGTGCAGTGACACTGTCTCGGCTCACTGCAACCTCGACCTCCCAGGGTCAAGCAATCCTCCCTCCTCCCACCTCAGCCCCCGGAGTGGCTGGAAGTACAGGTGCATGCCACCATGGCCAGCTAACTTTTGTATATTTTTTGTAGAGACGAAGTTTTGTCATGTTGCCCAGGCTCCTCCTGATCATTTCTACTGCCACTACATCCCTCTGTATATGCTTCCTCATCATCTCTTATCTGGATCATCAGAGAATTTCCTGCTACTCAACTTTGGGCCCATTTGTTTTGTTTCTTTTTTACTTTTTGCTAAAATGACATACCAGTTTATGCTACTCTTCAAAAACCTTTGCTGCTTTTGAGTTGCTATGGGTGGGGAGGGGGCTGTGGTAGGGAAAGGAAGCTTCTGTTCTCTACCGTCAACTTGTTTCACGCTCTCCCGAGCATGCCACATGCCTTTCTCTTTCTGTAACCCTGCTCTCTATGATCTGGAATACACTTTTCATCAAGAACCAGTCCAAATGCTACAACTTCCTCTGAGCATCTTACACATACAATTTCCCTATTCATAAGCTCCTTTTATTTCTGTTTTAGCATCTATTTTAATCTACTCTGGATTAGGATTGACTGGTTTCTCCCATTAGATTCTAAAATCCATGAGGGCAGTCATCTCTGCACTCTCTTAATGCTGATCTGTTTCGCATACAATAGATATTTAGTAAATGCCGAGTTGAAAAACATGAAAGTGGGTTACTTGAAAACATCCAAAACAGGCTTCTGTTTTAAAACATTGGCCATTATGTTTTGTGCTGTTTTTGTAAGACAGACAAGCTAAAATTGATTCTGCTTTCTTCAATTATTGACCCCAAGGCTATACTTTGAACCCTGACATCACCAGTAAAGGAAGTTTCTAATTTAAAAATCCTGTTCTCTTACCATGTCTTTCCAGTTTATTTCAATTAAAATGCCAGCCTGTTGACCTCATCATACTATCCTGTCTACCTCCTCTTGTCCTCCCTTTATTCTTTACCTATAGCCCATCACTATAATTAGAGATCATGGTCCATCATTATACATCATAATGTATTTGTATTTGTAAAAGTATTTACAACATATTCATTTAATTTATTTTGAGACAGAGTCTAGCTCTGTATCCCAGGCTGGAGTGCAGTGGCGCAATCTTGGCTCACTGCAACCTCCGTCTCTGGGGTTCAACTGATTCTCCTGCTCTCAACCTCCCGAGTGGCTGGGTTTACAGGCGTGCACAGCCACGCCCAACTAATTTTTGTATTTTTAGTAGAGACGGTGTTTTACCACGTTGGCCAATTGGTCTTGAACTCCTGGGATCTGCCCACCTCAGCCTCCCAAAGTGTTGGGATTACAGGTGTGAGCCACCTTGCCCGGCCTACAAATATTTTTAAATCTCACGCTTCTCCCTCTTTTGAACTCATAAACTCAAATTCTGATGAACTCAATCTTCTGCTTTCTTGTTCCTTTCAACTTAACAGCTGAAAATTACTGGGGGAGGAAATCATGCATTCAAGTAGACGGTTGTCATTTCAAATATACTACTAATCCAAGTGAACAATCCAATTTTGCCTAGCAATCTTAGCCGTGTTCCTCTAATCAATACTTGCCTATTCTCTAACAATTCTCCCAATTCCTTCTTTCTCTCGAAAGTTTTCCCTTTCGTCACTCTTAGCCAGTGACTTCTCTTTATACTTTGAGAAAACAGAAATCAGTGGGTGGTAATTACTTTCCCTTCACAAAATTTGAAATCTATTTTAATTCTCCCCTTGACTCAAAAATCACTCAAAAGTGGTAGATATTGGATCTACCACTTTAACTGAAGGCAGAGGTCTTCAAATTTTGGTCACAGGACTCCTTTTCACTCTTAAAAATATTGTCAACCTTGGCTGGGAGCGGTGGCTCATGCCTATAACCCCAGCACTTTCAGAGGCCAAGGCAGGAGGACGGCTTGAACCCAGAGTTTAAGACCCACCTGGGAAAACACAGCAAAACTTAGTCCCTACAAAAAATTAAAAAATTAGCCAGGCATAGTGGTGTACACTGGTGGTCCCAGCTACTGGGGAGGCTATGGTGGGAAGATTGTTTGAACCCAGGAGGTTGAGGCTGCAGTGAGTTGTGTTTGTGCCACTGCACTCTAATCTGGGTAACACAGCAAGACTGTCTCGGAAAAAAAAAATTTCCAACTGCAAAGAGCTTTCATTTATATGAATTATAGCTACTGATATTTAAAAGTTAAAACATATTTTATTTATATGAATTATAGCTACTGATATTTAAAAGTTAAAACAGAAGTTTAAAAAGTATTAATTCATTTTGATATGAAAATAAACATTTCAATGGGAAAAACCCAAGTATTTCCAAAAAAATATAGTGGAAAGAGTGATTTTGTTTTATAGTTTTGGAAATCTTTTAAATATCTGGTGTAACAGAAAACATCTGGATTCTGATATCTACTTGTACATTTAATCTACTGCCCCACACAGAAAAATAGTTAGAAACAGAGATATACTCTACTCATCTTGTCAGATAATTATCGATATTATTCTTTGATACTAAATTTGACAAGGGAATGCACAATATGGTTCGAAATCAGGTCAAAGAACACTTTATACTTTGTTATACAAAATCTACTGTTCTCTCTTGCACTTTGTTTTTGATTTGATTTGATTTTTTTTGAGACAGGGTCTTACTCTGTCACCCAGACTGGAGTGTAGTGGTGTGATCATGGATAGCTGCAGCCTTGACTTCCCTGGCTCCAGTGATCCTCCCATCTTAGCCTCCAGAGAAGCTGGGACTACTGGTGTGTGCCAACACACCCGGCTAATTTTTGTATTTTTTGTAGAGACGGGGTTTCACCATGTTGCCTAGGCTGGTCTCAAACTCCTGAGCTCAAGCGATCCTCCCACCTCGGCCTTCCAAAGTGTTGGGATTATAGGTGTGAGTCACTGTGCCCAGACTCTCTTGCACTTTGAATAGATCTTTTACTCATGCGTCATTTTGTAACATTTGTTGTAGCATTCACTGATCATTTGAAAATAATGACTCATTGAATTATAAGGATTTTCTAAATGTTGACTCATTTAATTATATAATAGGAAAAAAAATCACATTTGTTAAAATACCACTAATCAGCCGGGCATGGTGGCTCACTCCTGTAATCCCAGCACTTTGGGAGGCCAAGGCGGGCAGATCACGAGGTGAGGAGTTCGAGACCAGCCTGACCAACATGGGGAAACCACGTCTGTACTAAAAATACAAAAATAAGCCAGGTATGGTGGTGCGCACCTGTAATCCCAGCTACCCAGGAGGCTGAGGCAGGAGAATCGCTTGAACCTGGGAGGCGGAGGTGGTAGTGAGCTGAGATCGCGCCACTGCCCTCCAGCCTGGGTGACAGAGCAAGACTCCGTCTCAAAAAAACAAAAAACAAACAATCTCACTAATCTCATTGACGAAAGTCTTCAGAAGCTCTCAAGCTCATGGTGGTAATTATCACCACCAACAAATGCCTATTGTTTTCCTTAAAATGACAAGCTAACAACATTACTTCTCAAGAAAATGTCTGTCAAATACCTAAGTCTGCATAAACTGCTGGCGGGTCATTTTTTCAAGTAAAAATAGTGTTCCATAAAAGAAAACAAGCTAGTTCAGTTTTCAACTCAAACAACTGCCCAAGAGCTTTCCTTCAAGAGAATCATTCTCTGGTGTGCACAAGTGCTATTTCAGACTTCCTATTTTGTCACACAAATGTTAAAAAAACATATACTCAAGCATCAAGATTGAATAAAGTTAGTAATTTTTACTGCTTCATAAAGAACTTCAATGAACCTGCCTTTTTGCTTTTTTTTTTTTTCCCTTGCTTTAAACCTCAAGTATATGGTGCTGAAGAATACAGAGGTAGTAGCAGTTTGGTGCCACTGCCTTGATTTATGCTAAGGCACAAGCAGGTTCACAAACCATTGCTTTTGCACCACAAGTAGAAATTTCAAAATGATAAAAAGGCAAATAATGGCTTGGTATGAAAATAGTTTTGACCTCCTGAAAGAATCACCTATCTCCAGGCTGTCATCTTTGGCCTGGGTAACTATAACAATTTCCTAACTACTCTCCCTGCATTCACCCCTGCATCCAACTCCTTCCCTATACTGTTTTCCGGCCGATTTTTCTGGGATTTATTACTTGCTATTTAAAACTTTTCAAAGCTAATTTTTCTTTGATATCTCAGTTCTTTATATTAGCCTATAAGGCTGTACATAATTTAATCCCTGCCTACATCCCCCAATTTTTTCATCTCCCTTTCTTCTGATTTACCAAGTTCCAATCATACCTATCATCTTCATTTCCTTGAAAAACAATTTCTTCAGGGTCTTTGCTTACTTTGGCATTTCTGTGCAAAGAATGTTCTTTCTCTGCTTATTCCCACAGCATGCTCTTTATCAAACTCAACTTAAACAAATTACCCCTTCCAAGACATCTCCCTGACCACTCAACCCAGAGCAGGTTCCCATTAGTTGTTCTCTATCAGAGTACTCTCATTTTTCCCTTCGAAGGACTTACCAGGATTTGCAAATAGTTGTTTGTTTATCTGTTTGTCATTTGCGCCCCACCATGGGGCACAAACTTCATAAAAGACAGGGAATACTTAAATCTTACTTTATACATAGTGGGTACACTAATATTTGTTGAATCAATGGATGCATTTTTCATGTATTTCTATTAATGAGAACACGCTAAAGTGTTCAGTTATAGAATGCTGTATTAATCAATGTGTTCTCAAAATTGAAATTCTGACTACTTTGATGAATACGCAGTTATATTGGATCTTACATATTTTTAAAGGAACAAAACAAAAGATTCTCTGTGGCTTTTACCTTCGTATTTAGGATTCTTGAACTTACCATGTATGGCTTCTTGGTAACCAAGTGTCTTTGCCAACTTTTTCAATGCAAAACTTTTGAGGCCCATTACTTCCTACACCAGGAAAATAAGACAAAGTTTATCTGGTCCTTTAAACTTTTTTCTTCTGACAACTACTTAAATAATAGAACATGCTGCATAATCATATGAATGATACGAAATAAAGAAGAAATTCACAATGTAAGCTGCTTCTGCCTGAAGAAGCTTCTTACTGTTGCAGAGATCCAGCAATAAGAATTAAATCAGTGGGAAGAAAACTATTTATATAGAATGTCGCTCCCTTCACAGTCACCCTAGGGAGCAAAGCAATGGCCACCTCAGCTATATGAGGAGACATTCATTTTTGTCTTACAAGTGCTTTGATATTAGTCATTCATTTTTCTTTCTTCTAAATGAAGTCCTATCTACAGCACAGAAGAGTAATCTTTAGTTCAAGTCTACTGTATGTCCAAAGGCCATTATTATCACAAAATTATCTACAGAGAAATTACAGTGAAACTACATTTACCCATGAGCTCAGCAAATCCTCCTAGAGGTAAACGGCAGGTTCCAGTGACGAACTGCAGTAGTCGCATTCTTACTTCATTGTCTGTCTCTTTCACAAACTGTAATGAAATCCAATGTACTTTAATATGAAATAAATGCTAAACTATCTTCAATCATGAAACTAGTACACACCTGAAGAAATTAAATAACACTGAATTGGTTCAAAAGTCGTGTGAAAAAGTGGTTGTAGGGTTTGTCATTTAATAAGAGTGGGCACCATGCTAAGCACACTGTGAACCTCACTTCAGGTCATCCTCATGAGAACACGGAGGCTGGCCACCATCATTACTACGCCCATCTTACAGCGAGCAAAGACACGAGAATCTTGGCAAGGTTAAGTCATTTATGTAAGGTCAAACAAAAGGTGCAACCAAGATAGATGATGTTGTTGGGCTGTAGTATAACAGCTATTAAGGGTTCCTGCCAAATAGTGTGCCACTGGTTTTCATGGATTTAGTTCTCACAATTCTATGAGATAGGTAGAATCGTTAGCATCCCCACTGTACACATAAGGAAATGGAGGCCTAGAGAGTTTAAATGATTTGTCCTTCTTAAACTGCTAAAGTGGCAGAACTAACATTTGAACTCAAGTCTAGATGAGCCCTAAACCACTGTTATTCCTCCCTAAGTCAATTACCCATCTCCCCTTTAAGCTACAGAAAACAAATGAACACCTCTCTGCTGCCACTCTTAATAGTCTATGGTATTTTCTCCCATGAAACACCATTTTCCTAACACTTTGTGTTCTTCCTGACTAGTACCTGAAACACCAAAGTACACATTCCTCTAAAATTATCTATTTCACTGACTAGTTATTTTCAAAGACATAAATGGGTAATGTGGTGAAATACTAATTTGATTGGTTTGAGTATAACAGAAAGCAAGGAACATAGGGAGCAGATTAAGAGTAGAAATGTATCTTTAAAATAGGGAATAAACTTTAGCTAAGGATAAGATAAAACAGCTGTGCTAATCATGTCCCAAAATATTTCAGTGAAGAACTGTGCTGAGGCACATATTTCAACAAAACACAAGAAACAAAACTTATTACCAGGTCTGGCATAAACCTCACCACTTCCCCTAAAAGAAACCCACTTCAGAAAACACAAGTATTCATTTGGATTTATATGACCCTAAGCTTAAGCTCATTGGCTATGTAGGTACAAATGTGTAAACAGAAAGCCAGGGAACACCAAATGTAACGAAGCTAGTGAATAGTATGCATATTGCATGCAATGCAATTCAGGTATTTTAGGCGTGAAAATGGATTTATTCCTTCCTATTTATGTATTTATTTTATAATAGGTAATAGTATGGAATGCAAAAGACTTTTACTTAATGAAAAGCAGCTTTCCTACCTTCGCCTCCAACTGCTCAGCACCCCTCTAGAACTGTTTCCAGTTTTTTCTCTGCCTTTTCAAAGATGATATATTTCCATACTAACATACACTTTTACTATACAGATGATAAGTCTTTAAACAAAAAGCATCATATTATACACATTGTTTAGCATCTTCCTTCTCCCCTTAATACTGTATTGAAATATTATTCTCCAATATTTTTGTTAATTTGCATTTTTAAAAATGGAAAGAAAAGTCAGGCGTAGTGGCTCATACCTGTAATCCCAGCACTTTGGGAGGCCAAGGCAGGTGGATCACTTGAGGTCAGCAGTTCAAGACCAGCCTGGCCAACATGGTGAAACCCTGTCTCTACTAAAAATACAAAAACTAGCCGGGCGTGGTGGCACACACCCATAATCCCAGCTACTTGGAGTGGGGGCGCTGAGGCAGGAGAATCACTTGAACCTGGGAGGCAGAGGTTGCAATGAGCCGAGATCCTGCCACTGCACTCCAGCCTAGGCAATAGAGTGAGACTCT